GGTAGACTGATCACAGATAATATCCTTGTTGCTGCAGAGGTTGGTCATTTTTTTAATAGGAAACAATGTGGGGCCACAGGTTGGGGGGCTCTGAAGTTGGATATGGCAAAGGCCTATGACAGAATGGAGTGGCAGTTTTTACAGAAGATGTTGGTGGTGATGGGGTTTGATGAACGATGGGTTAAACTGATTATGCTCTATGTAACCACTGTTGAGTATAATATTCTCGTGAATGGGATAGTAGGAGGCCGAGTAACACATACTCGGGGGCTCAGACAGGGGGATCCCCTCTCCCCTTATTTGTTTATTATTTGTGTAGAAGGATTGTCTTTGTTGTTACAGAAGGCACAGATGGCAGGATCTATACACGGATGCAGGGTGGCTAGAGGAGCTCCCCCTATCTCGCATCTGTTTTTCGCAGATGACAGCCTGCTGTTTTTCAGGGCGAATGTTCAAGAGGCCACTGTGATTAAGCAATGCCACTGTGAAAATTTGTCTGGTCAAATGGTAAATTTTCATAAATCTAATATCTGTTTTAGCAGAAATACACAGGAAGCAGAAAGGCTAGCTGTGGAAGAAGAAAAATAAAATAAAATAAAGTTAAGATAAGATAATAATAATTATAAACTAATGAGACAACTCATTAAAACCTAATTATTAAAACACTTATTTAAAATTGATGATATAAAACTACTAAATAAATTTAATAAAATTTCTATTTATATTAATAAAAGTGCAATATTAGCCTAATACTTATTAAAATCAATCTAAAGTAGTCTAAACTAGTAACATGTAACTAAATATAATATTTATAATAAAATCGATCCTAAAACTTAATTTATTTATGCAAATCACTGACTAAAATTACTCTAAATAATGCCTAGAAATTAAGCTTATCAGAAATACCAAAAATCGGAGGAAGTATCCTCTAAAAATAGTCGGATAGGACTTAAAAAATGTAAACTTATATCGATCGGTTGGGCGGTTCTGATATTCGAGCTAGGGGTGGGCGTTTCGCGTTTCGATTCGTTTTTTTTTTTTTTTTTTTTTTTTTTTTTTTTTTTTTTTTTTTTTTCTTTTTTTTTTTGGGTTTCTGTTTCGGTTTTAAAAAAGTTAAACCACTCGGTTTAACATTAAGATTCGGTTCGGTTTTGGTTCGGTTTGAAACGGTTCAGTTTCGGTTCGGTGTTCGGTTCTGTTTAAGATCCCCAAATTTCAACATTTCCTAATTTTTCGAACATACTACCAAACAATACATATTCACATAATCCAAATTCAAACTCTAAATATTATATAACAAAATAGCAATCCAAAGTTCAAACACAATACTAAGTACTAATTACCAAACATCAGTTAACGTTTTTGCACAACCGAATCTTCAGTTGGTTCAGTTGGAATATTTTTATTGATAAGATGAATAATCATTTATCTGTATAATTGATATTAAAAGAACTAGTGTCAATTACTATATAGTTAATTTTTGGACACAATTTGTCATTGCTAGTGCACTCGAAATATATTCCAGTACTAGAAAATAATTATAGTTCACTGAAAATCAAAATTAGAATGACTGTAAAGCACATTAAATTTATAGAAAAACATGAAAGTAAGGAAAATACTGAATATTGTAAATATAACTCAAGTTAGATATAATTGAGAGGTAAAGAACAATTGCGACAAACAACAAAAGTGCAATGTAGAAAACAAGCTATAAAGAAATCAAATAAAAAATTTAAGATTCGGTACCAGTAAGAATGAGAATTGAACGGCGGTGCAGGCATCAAAGAACTTGGATTTACTTCTTTATTATTATTATTATTATTATTATTAATTTATTATTATTATTATTATTATTATTATTATTATTTATTAAAAAATTATATAGCATTCGGTTCGGTTCAATTTTTACCAAACCGTTCAATTTCAATTCGGTTCGGTACTAAACTGTTCGGATTACAAAATTCCGAATCATTCAATTTTCTATTACTAATTCGGTTCGATTCGGATTGAATTAGTTCGGATAACCGAACCAAAGTGACCACCCCTAATTCGAACCGCCCAATGCAGAGACCTAGTAGTGTCAAAAATTGGCAGGTGTAATTGAGACATATCGAGTGAACCGGACCGTCCGTCCGTTAATCGCAATTCACGAAATATTCATTTCCTCAGCGTTGCTTCCAAACAAAAGACGGCGGGTTTTGTCACTATTCGGGGTTGGAATCGAATCCTATTCCGGATTTCCGGTGTTCTCACCCCGCCCTGGACGAGGAAAAGCAGTAGAAGAAACTTTGGTGTTCGAAAATCGAAAGATAGAAAGAAATTATTGTTAGTGTTTGATGTCGCTGAGAATAAAAGCTGTGGTCGACAAGTTCGTGGAGGAACTGAAGGAGGCCCTGGATGCTGACATACGGGACCGGCTTATGAAAGAGAGGGAGATGCAGAGCTACATCGAGGAACGCGAGCGCGAAGTCGCCGAGCGCGAGGCCGCCTGGAAAGCCGAGCTCTCACGCCGCGAGGCAACAATCCCTATATTCATTTCTTTCTTTCTCTTTTCCTCTTTAATTTTCATCCACAATTTAGGCGCCTTGGATTTCTTGAGTAATCAAGCTGGGTGAATTTATGATTAGGATTAGGATTCTCATGCTAAAAATATAGTGCTATAATTGTTTTCTATCAATGGGAAATTATATGTGTTTCTAGTGAAAAAAGGTTTGATTTTTTCCTAAAAGATTTACTGCATTTGGTGTGGTTTAGAAATGCCAAGTTCTTGCCTGCCCTATTAGCTCAGTTAGTTAATTTTTGGATGATAGATTGTGGGCAAGACACATGATTGAGTGACGTGGGCTCCTTGTGGACACCAGACAGACACGTGTCTTCCACCTAAATGACCTAATAAGTCATTTATCCCTCCACTATCCTGTCGAGCAGGAGGGGGAGGGAGTTTTGCCTTTGAGGGCAAGAAATGTCAAGTTCTTTTGCACCATTTTGACTGCAAGTTAAGCTATGATGGGCTGCTATACACATTATTTTGTATCATTACATCAGCCTTATGATTTATAGCCTAATGGGAAAGTAAATGAAATATGTGAATTTTCTTGCATGTGGCAAAAAGGTTTATCTGTCCACTGAGAAAACTTATGATTTTCATTTGGTTATGATCATTCTTTGGCATTTGATTATAATATGGCATTTTCATATTCCAGGCAGAGATTGCCCGGCAAGAAGTAAGGCTTAAGATGGAAAGAGAGAACCTTGAGAAAGAGAAAAGTGTACTTATGGGCACAGCATCAAGTCAGGATAACCAAGATGGAGCTCTAGAAATTACAGTAAGTGGAGAGAAGTATCGATGCCTTCGCTTTTCTAAGGCAAAGAAGTGAAGAATTGAAGTTGACAAAGTACGACCTTTAATGCTTAGTTTGTTTACTGATTGTATTGAATTCATATGTCTTGTATATGAACAGAGAATTCATGAAGAAAAAAAAATGATATAGAACTTAGTTCTCCAAAATTATTTAAACTGAACTTTGCTTTCTACAATACTAACATACTGTCCTTTTATCTGCACTTGGCTTATAACATTTGCTCTCTACACCCAGATATCCATGATGATTTCTTAAATTAGGAAATAAGATCCTACCTTTACATTTTACAATGGGATTCAGCTTCTCCTTTCTTTTTTCTTGGTTAGCCCTTCATTTGACTATCTTGGTTTGCCCTTAATTTGACCTGCTCAGTTTCATGAGTATATGAGAATATGTTGAAAGTAAGCGAAGTCTGTAATCAGTAGAGACCAGAGTGACATGTAATGTTGGCTTCTGCTCTGATTGATGGATTCTGATTTTTGTGATGACTTGTTACAAAAGCACAGTATGTATTATATTCTCCAGCAGAAACATCAATGTTACCCAACAAAAGTGATGGTGAAAGGAACAAGATTTCTTCAATCATTTTGCTTGTACTCCGTATTATTTTAGGCCAAAAAGGCCATCAAAGTCTGTACAACAATACACTCAATCTCCAACTTAGTTGAAAGAGATGAAAATTGCTCCTCAGAGAAGGTACCTGCTTTGCGAAACTTAAACTTCTAATGTTATGTCAGTCTAACTATATAACTCATTCAAATTGTCTACAAGTTCTGCCTTTGACTCAATTCAAATCTTAGTGGTGAAAGTCAAGATTTTCAGGATCTGATTCGTGCAGGTAATAATGGATTGGAAGAGGGATGTTTTATGGTAGTCATTGTTGTTTCTCTACTGGTAGTGTTCAAAGAAAGTGACATCCCGTAGGAGCCTAAAAGCGAGAAAGGAGAGAAGAAAGTGACTATATCCATTGCTAAAACTTAATCAATTACACCTCCTACATTTTCATTATTTTTTTTGAGTACTAATCAGCTTTTGTGTTGTTTGTTGCAGTACTTCCATTGATGAAAATTGAGGAGCATGGTCACCTAAAAGATGAACTCTGTATTTGCAGAAAATACATGCTAATCAATTGTGTAAGGTATTTCTATTTGAGCATTTGAATTCAATATCATTGATAGAAACTTCGAAAGCCATATCGAAGTGTGATTTTTTTTTAATATTTTATTTTAAAGTCTATTTCCATGAGAACGGTGTCATGTCTGAAGTCCCGCATTATGCAAAATGTATGGTAGATTTAGATGAGCTTATACAATTGCTTCTTTTTTTTTGCACAAGTAAATTCTGAGTTCTCCATTTAGTGTACTCATTTAAGATATGTGACATTGTACTAATTACGGGCAGCATATCTAACTGTCTGTGTATCAAAATTTAAGTATATCAGTGCACCTTCCCTATGAAGCTAGCCACTTTTTTTAAAAAAAAAAAAAAAATCAAATATTGCCATTTATCTTTTACAAGTATACTATGTTATTCATCTCACTGTGCTTGGATGATTCCTATTACCTTTTGCAATAGTTTATTAGTAAAAGGTTGTCTATTGAAGGTTGCCATTTTTCCTTTTCAAGTTTGCTGTGCAATCTATGTTATTGTGATCAGTATGATTCCTTTTACCTGGTTTAGTAGTTTCTCGAACATATCTGATGTAACCTTCTCTGTAAAAGTATGGGTGATATTGAAGTTTACGCTTTGAATTTGAGCAATGATCTTCATCCTAATGAGATAGATGGCAGCCTCATGTAAACTCTCAGATGAACACATGAATGACAACTGGAAACACATTTCTTTTGTTTTCTTGACATGTTCAGATAACTTTCAGAATGTTGCACAGATTATTCATTTTCTTGTGTGTGTGTGTGTTTTTTTGGGAATTCTGCACCTTGATGGGGGATTTTGGTACACTTTGAGAATAGATGTAAATAACAAATTAATAGGGGGCGTTTGGTTCACGGAATGTTAGATTACCTTAGGGAATGTTAGATTATTGGGAATGTTAGATTACTGAGGATGTTTAGATTCCTGTATTTGGTTTAAAACTAAGATATGTAAATAAAGGCAAATTATGCTGTGGATGGTGGACCCGTGTCCACCATGCACATTCATAATTTCTATACTGTAGATTCATAATTTCTATACTGTAGATTTATAAAATCTATACTGTAGATTCATAATTTCTATACTGCACATTCATAATTTCTGTACTATATGAATCTACATTATAAATTTTATTAATCTACAGTATAGAAATTATGAATCTACAGTACAGAAATTATGAATCTACAGTACCGAAATTATGAATATGCAGTATAGAAATTATGAATCTACAGTACAGAAATGATAAATGTGCACTATAGAAATTATGAATCTACATTATAAATTTTATGAATCTGTAGTATAGAAATTATGAATGTACAGCATGTCCACCATGCACATGGTGGACACGGGTCCATAGCATAACGCTCCGTTAATAAGACAACGGTAATAAGATAAATTGATTAAAACGTCCAAAGCCAACATTAGTAATAAGACAAGAGAATGTGAGATTACCTAAGAAATTGGAGGGTATCTCACATTATCTTCTAATAGCTAAAAACTTAATGCGAGGTTATCTTACATTCCCTGAGAAAGTTACATAACCTGAACCAAACATGAGAATCTTATATTACCAAGCAAATATAATCTTAGTTATCCTATATAACCTGAACTAAATGTCTCTAGGTATAAAAGTATAAGTGTACAATATATTATTATAATTACCTAATAATTATTATGGTAATTAAAGAATTAATTGTACATATATTAGTATAATGACTAATAATTATAATTATTATGTTAATTAAGCTAATAATTACACAAATATATTTATATAATTACAATTAAACATGGGTCGATGGATTGATTTTTATAATAAATACAATTAGTTCATTCATATATGGAGGAGGAGGAAAAAAGTAAGGGTGGTATGGTGAAAATGAATATACTTAAGGTATAAAATTATAATTGCACAAATATTAGTATAATTATCTAATAATAATTGCCTAATAATTATTATAATAATTAAGCTAAACATGAGTTTTTAGATTTATTTATATAATAATTACAATTAAATTATTTATCATTTTTTTGCATATTTATTTTAATAATAATATAATTACATAATTCATATTATTAATTTTTTCAAGAAAATTGCAGACAAATGAGTCATCCATATATTAATCAATTAATTGAGTGATATTTTTACACTAATCTTATAATCAAATAAATGTACACTTTCAACTATTAAAATGATTTATGATTTCATCTTTAATTTTATTATCTAAATATATAATAAAAAAATTTTATTCGTGCATCGCATAGATAATTTACTAGTCGTGTAAAAAATTATGAGTGTTAAAGAAAACAAACAAAAAACTACCTTCATATTCATAGCAATTTAGGAATAAAATTAGAGTTAATACCATCTGAGGTCCTCCGAGTATAGTGGTTTTGCCACGTTTAGTCCTAAACTTTCAAATTGACCATTTGTGGTCCTTCGATTTTCAAATTTAACCATTCGTGGTCCAAGTTAACCACCCATGGTCCTTCAAGTTTCGAAATTTAACCAGTCGTGGTCCTCTTAAAAGGACCATGGTTGGTTAAAATTTAATAGTCGCAGGACTATGGGTGGTTAACTTGGACCATGGATGGTTAAATTTGAAAGTCGAAGGACCACAGATGATCAATTTGAAAGTTTAGGACTAAACGTGGCAAAACCACTATACTCGGAGAACCTCGGATGGTATTAACTCAATAAAATTATTAGTGTCATACATTATTACTCTTCATAGGGCATGTTGTATGCTTGGTCTCCCCCTTCCTTCAGATATTAAAAAAAAAATACATTATTACTCTTCTCTTAAATTGCTCAGAATTATTTGTGTTTTAGGGTGCGTTTGGAAATCCGGAAAATGACTTCTGGAAAATATTTTTCGAGTTTCCAGTGTTTGGCAAGAGGGGAGAAAATGAGGTCAACGAAAAATGCTGTTGTAATCAACGGAAAATAAGTATGTTTTGGGGGAAAATGACATCCCTTTTTTTTTTTTGGGAAGTCATTTTCCAATCCTCATGCTTGGTATGTATATTATATAGTTTGTATGTGTGTGATATAGATACACTATATATATATATATATATATATATATATATATATATATATATATATATATATATATATATATATATATACTAGTAGTTGCACCCATGCGATGCACGACTATATATATAGTTTATATTATATTCAGTATAATATAATAAGATGAAAAAATATAGTACATTTTAAAAACTTAATCAATTTGAAATGATCAATTTTGAAAATTTAATACACATTGTTGAAGATTTCTTTGTTGAACTCATGCGATGCACGACATATATATAGTACATAGAATATTCCGTATAATATAAAAAGATGAAAAAATATACATTTTAAAAACTTAGAAAATTTGAAATGATAAATTTTGGAATTTTATTACACATTGTTGAAGACTTCTTTGTACACAACATTTTTAGTCGTACTTAGACATCGTACATTTTCTCCACAAATCAAAATTTTTAAACCCCTTGGGTTACTAACTCTTGAAACAACTACGTACATTTGGCCATGGTTAAATACCGGTCTTTTCAACAGCAATCCCACTTTTGAAAGTGTTTGTCCTTGGCTTTTGTTGATTGTCATGGCATAGGATAGCAACAGAAATTGCTTTCGTTGGAATTTGAAAGGCAATCTTGGATCTGACGGTGTAAGTGACATTCTAGGAATTAATACTCTTGTTCCTGCATTTGTACCGCACATGATATGGGCTTCCAACACATGATTAGTTAACCTAGTAACAATCAACCGGCAAATTATGCTGTGCATCCGTATGCACCATGCATGGTGCATATGGATGCAAAAACGACGTCGTTTTAATAAAACGCGCATCTCCCCTTAAAAAAAAAAAATCAGGTTCGATTCCCAGCAATAACATATGAACTAAAATTCCATAATCGATGAACTAAAATTCCATAATCGATGAACTATAATTCCATAATCTAATCTATGAACTAAAAATTCCAGAATGAATGAACTAAAATTCTATAATCTATAAACTAAAATTTCAGAATCGATGAACTACAATTCCATAATTGATGAACTATAATTCCATAATCAATGAACTATAATTCCATAATCTATGAACTAAAATTCCAGAATGAATGAACAATATAATGTTGTTGCTGGGAATCGAACCTGAATTTTTTTTAAAGAGGAGATGCACGATTTTTAATAAAACGACGTCGTTTTGGCATCATGGTGCATACGGATGCACAGCATAACGATTGCAATCAACCTTGTACCATTGCATAATCCAAGTGTGTGATCAATATTTCTCAAGAGCATAACATGTGACCCAACTTTCAATGTCACAGCATGATTTGGTACTCCAGAACATCTCAGCCCGTTCAAGAATTCGGGAGTGTGCAAATCCGCTAACAAATCTACATTTGAATCTGACTTACAAACAGAATCACAACTCAAGTAAATCTTACCCTCAGCCAGATTATGATCATTCATGTATTGGTTAATGCTATCTACCACATCCAATGTTGGAGCCAAAATAACACTATCATTGAGATATGTCAGATCCCCAATACCACGTCTAAAAAGAGGGAAGGTGCTATCAACAATTTTAGCAATAGGACCATCGTTGCACTTCAGCAGTAAGTGATCGGGAATTGTAATATCTGCCTCCCCATCACTTGAATTACCAACAGTTCCGTCACCTATATTAGCTATCCAGTTTGCAAACTCCTCAATCTCTTTAGCCTCAATTTGTGATTGTACACTTTGTAGGCGTAGATTCTTAGTTAACCTAAATACTTTACAGGATTTCCAAAGATATGAGGAATTTATGCTCGCCCGAACAATATCCTGTCTTGTACCATTTGGAATTACTGGTAGAATTTGCCTGAAATTGCCACTAAAAACCACTGTTTTACCACCAAATGTCATTTCATAACTACTTGGATTTTTGTAGCGCAACAAATCCCTCATAGTTCGGTCGAGGGCTTCAAAACAAAATTTGTGCATCATTGGAGCTTCATCCCATATTATCAACTTGCTTTGAACAATAAGCTCTGCTAATGGACTGCCATAACTTATGTTGCAAGTGGAATCTTCATTAACATATATCGGTATGGCAAACCGAGAATGTGCAGTTCTTCCACCTGGTAATAAAAGAGAAGCTATGCCGCTAGATGCAACATTTAATATTATTTCCCTCTTAGACCTTAAAGCGGAGGACAATGCTTGCCACAGAAACATCTTAACAGTCCCTCCATAACCATAAACGAAGAATAACCCTCCAGCTTTGCCATCAATATTTGTTAACACCTCATCGTATATGACCTTTTGCTCTTCTGTTAACTGACTTACCAATTCCTGGTTCTCTTTCTCCTGAGCAACATAGTCATATGACAATTCTTCTTGTATGAGCCTGTTTGATATAACATTAAATCAAAGTTCATCTTTTGGGAGTCATTCAACACAAAATCTGCATTTTAGTATATCAAAATTTACTCAGTAAGTTAACTCCGTTATAGATCATTTGATTTTTTTATCGCAATATAACAAAAATAATATTTAGAAAGTATGTGTACCTGTATTTGACAACTGTTTACGGATCTGGAATTGTGCATCGTCCGACAATTGTGGCCACACCGCATTCCAAACTGTTTCCAGTTTACCCATACAACTGCTCATTAGCAATGTAACAAACAATCTCCTCAACTGATCTCCCGACGTCCAATGACTGGCTTCATCTATTGCATCAACATATTCGTTGTTATCATCAACTAAACCTCTAGCATAACACATATCTCGAAATGAAGCATAATGGACACCGTTTACAGTTCTGAGATCTGCATAACTTGTCACGTATTTTATTCAACAAACATCTCAAATAAAATATTTCTCCCGTGGCAGGTGGCACATAAAATATCCTTTAGATTGAGAACCTTTTTTTTCGGGGCTGCCATTTTCTAAGGTCTTTCTTCCACACGAATTTTGTTGGCATCTCTACATAAGTAAGCCTTTTTGCATATGGAAATGTCTTATTAGCCTCAAACCATTCCAAGAACATGCTCTGTGCTATAGTGGGTCTATTCACAACATTCTCCACTGGATCGTCATCTGTGTTAGTGTTTTATTTCTTTAAGAAAAACCCCAACATATAATTGACAATATTATTATGGCAAATTAAGATAGGGTTTAGCTTGGTGTCTGTTTGTCCTTGAAGAAGACTGATTGATCAGTACAATCAACAGACGCACTGCTAGATCAAGCCACCGAAGATCTGATAAAGGAAAGTTTTCAAAAAGCTGGAACGCGGTTATGAGATGATGGTTTTGGAAAGAATATTAGCGAATCAGCTTGAGAGGTATGGACCGAATCTTAAGATTTCTTTCTTCACAAAAAGTCCTACCATCTACAATCAGAGATATATTTGGAGAGTGTCCAAATCAAAGAAGTATATATATTCTTATTCGCTCAGACGTTAGAGTTGCATTGATTGATGCCGCAACACTCTATACTAAACAGAATACACATCTCTGGTTGTCATGCCTCTTCTCAAGACAATACGTTATTGGTGATTATGAAGAAGAACTTGAGAAGTATCAAAGCTGCTTAAGCGATAGGACGCGAAGATCACTCAGTTGTGGGAACAACGTGGGACTGCGTCATTGAAGCGGACTGCATCAGAGTTAGCTCTCCAATTGAAGGGATTTCATTGGACTTCTGCATGCGTGGCTCTCCGACTTCAACAATCCACTAAACCTTTGTAGACTGGGTACTGACCTTGTGTAGGGCACTTGGGTGAGATTGTCTTTTTCTTTACCTTTGTACATTGGATTATGAGTTAGTGGATTGGGCGCATCGGTGATCGTCCCCCAGATGTAGATACACACTGTATCGAACTGGGTAAACAAACATATGTGTTGATTTACTTTCTGCCTTAGTCTTCCACTTTACGCTTTATCTACCATGCTGTCTAAATGACTGCTCAATCGAGAATCTGAGTCAGTCAGTCCATTCTCAGTTTCTAGAAACTAAATCAATATCCAGTTTAAGAGAATATGCAAAATTACATGTGGTATCAGAGCTTTTAAATGTACATAATGACTTGATCCATACGGGAAAAGTTTTTTTGCATTTTGTCTCTCTTTAAGAAGTTGTTTGCTTGGTTGTCTGTTGGGTTTTAGACTGCTCTCTTCCTGTGTGTTCTGGCTGGTCGTCTGTTTTGATTCAGGATGGATGCAAATATGAAACCACTAGAATTGGATGGTCACAACTATTCCTTCTGGAAGGCTCGAATGGAGATTTTTCTTCAGGCTCATGGCGACAGAGTCTATCGTACTGTCCTCACTGGATGAAGTCGTCCGACAGTTCAGAATGCTAATGGAACCGCTGAGATCAAACTAATGGAGACATGGACTGAAGATGAGATGTCGTCTTCTGATCTGAATAATAAAGCACTGATTCTATTGTAGGATCTCTTCATGAATCAGTCTTTACCTTGGTTACAGGAATAAAAGAGGAAAAACGTGTATGGGAAATCCTTGAAACCAGATTTGAGGGTACCAGTGATGTCAAACAGTCAAAGCTTCAGATGGTTCTTTAAGAGTTCGAAGCTCTCAGGATGTGTGAAGAAGAAACTATTTCTAACTTCCAAAGTCGTGTTCAGAATTTGATGAACAGAGCATCAGTACTTGGGGAACCGTTTACAGATGAAAGAGTTGTCAAGAAGATCCTTCGTTTTCTACCCAAACGATTCCGAATGAAAGTGACTGCAATTCAAGAAAACACAGGCTGGGAGAAGAAGAGTGTAGGAGAGCTTATGGGGAATTTGCATGCTTATGAACTTTAGGTGTTGGCTGATGACGATCCTGTAGTCAGCATAAAAGGCAAGTCAGTGGCTTTTGTAGCTGAGTTTGAACAAGAATCTGACACAGATGATATAGATGATGAAGCCCTAGTCTTATTAACAAAAAATTTCAAGAAAATACTGAAAGGTTTCAATCGAAGGAGTCAATGACAGCCTAACAGGACTCAGTACAAAAGTGGAAACTCGTCATATCAGAAATCAGAACCGTCATCTTTCACAAAGAATAGTCAGTCCCAGACTGGATGAACAGGGCAATTCAGAACCACACCTACAGACACAGTTAAAATCTTAAATCGGTCAGTGCAGTGTCGGGAGTGTGAAGGGTTTGGACATATACAATCTGAATGTGCAACTTATCTCAAAACAAAGAAATCCATGTCTGTGTCTACCCTAAGTGATGATGAAGAGGAAATAACAGATGACCCGTCTGATGAAAATGTTGGAAACTTCGTTGCCTTCTTCACAACAACAGAGGTTCACTCAGAAGGAGATGAAACTGATGGTGAATCCTACATATCATCAGATGATTTTGAAGAGCGACATGTTCAGCTAGAGATGGAATTTGCCAAACTGTGTAACACCCCTGATTTTTCAACATTTTTAAAGCTTAATTGCAAAGGTAAACATCTAATCATCAAGACAAACATCAAGCAGAAGCTATATAAAAATCGGAAAGCGTTATGCCACACCCATAAACCATGGGTGCATAGGCTAATCAACAACAATCTAACAAACAATAACAATTCTAAGGCACACAGGCCAGCTAAAGACAAACGTCTAGCATGGGATCTATACTATCTAAGGTCCACATCTAGCGTGCTCAGCATCTACTCAAAACCTGTAAAATCAAGGGATAACACCCGGTCAGCGAATAATGCTGGTAACCCATCAATACGCGTTAAATAACATAATATAGATAGATATAATCAAAACCATTTGAAACAGGGAATACAATATATATCATTTCAAAATCAAGGAAGGGAAGTCAACATCAAAGACCATTACACTCTCAACAAAAACGAGGATCATCAACCTCGTAACAAAGACAAGACCACAACCAACATAGACAATACAACTCAGGATGCATCCTACCATTCACAAGGTAGAACACATCAAGACACGCTCATAAGCAAGGAAATCACATTCACATAGTGACAACTACATGTCACAAGTTTCATAGTTCCAACCTTATGCCCTGTTCCAACCTTATGGCCACCCCGACCTTATCACAGTTCCAACCGTTACCTCCTAGTGCCACCCTGTACTTCTGAGTCCAACCTTTTGCCTCCGGAGACCGTCGCCCCTCCCACCTACACCACCCACATTACCATCAAACTCTCAGTACACGAAGGTACCATTAATATCATAATCACAAAATCGCTAAACTCGTGAGCAAAGCTCAAGTAACAAACCACCAATCTCAATCATAGTCACACAAGGTCATCATCATTACCAATAAGACTAAGGCTCAACAATAGCCTCAATCAAGTATCAACAAAGGGTGCACCGATTAGCATATGATCACATCATAGGAATCAATCAAGAGATCACAATAAGGACATGAGACCATACTCAACAACATAGGATTACAATCCAATACCAAATGATTGTCAACACAAGTTGCCAATCTCAATATGAAGAAACAAACTACACATACTAGCATATCAACATCAAACTAGCATGCTTGTCAAACGGGTAAACCAAAATTAGTTCCAAAGAACATTCAAGACTCACATTAGCCCAACGAATCACAAACTTGGACCCTTAGCACGATTCAAGACACCAATTCCTGACATGGATTCCTAACACACCGTTCTAGACATACAAAACATCAAGAAGACTCACAAATAACCCATTAAATTAACAACGGGAGGTCAAAATATCAATACCGAGAAGAAAGAATCACGGGGAACAAATCCCCGGCCGATATCCACTATGTACCCTGCGGGTGGGGCCACGGGTGGACCTCCACCCGCGGGTACACACCCGAGGGACGCCGGTTCCCCGTGGGTGGGGCGGTGGGTAGGCCTCCACCCGTCGTTCCGCCCGCGGGGTACATACCCTGTACACCAAAATTCCTTCGGGGATTTTCATCACTAAGGTCAAGTTCAAGTCCAAAACACCCAAAATCTCACACACAACAAGAATATGACTTTAACCCAAGAAATATCCAAGCAATGTCATACAAGAAACCTAAAAACAAGCTCTAAACATGCATCATTCACAAGATCATGCATCAAAACTCACAAATCACATCAAGAACATCAAGTAGAAGCCAATAATCATCATTTAGGTAAGAAAATAGATTTTGTATAGCATGTGTTACCTTTGTAGCCTAACAACTTCCTCTTTCCACCCTTAATAGCCTTTTCCTAGAGCTTCTCTTCCACACCAACTTCTTACACAAACCAAAACACAATAAAGATCCTAACTTTAGTTAAAGACACCTAAAAGAAGGTTAAAAACACCAAAAAGCTAAGGATCTTACCCTTTCCTATGCTCAAGAAGGAGAAAGTAGGAATCTTGGTAGAAAATCTTGCAAGGCTTGGAAGTTCAATTTCTTTCTTGGAGAAGAAGCTTAATTATTTTAGAGAGAGGCTAGAGTGTTTGAGTTTTAGGTTGAAAGGATGAATGAAATGAGAGAGTCTTGCTAGGTTAGCTTGAATCACAATTATTAGATGAAAAGACATTTCTACCCTCACTAATGTTGGAAAGACAAGGGAACAAGGGCACAACTCAAGAAGCACAAGGTACAACCTTTTGACTTAAGTGACTAGTCAAAATCTAGTCCCTCGACTATCAAATTTCAGGATTTTTAGAAATGAATTAGCAAAGAAACTTGGATTAATTCTTCGATTAATCCTCGATTAGTGTTTAGATTTACGGGGTGTCACAGGTTGGTAGTTGGGAACAACTAGTGAAAATCAACAAG